CAGGATTACATTACCGCCTAGCATTTAAATCTTATCTTAATCGTCATAAAAGGTTGGTTTTCTGAACCCCAAGTTTATTTCTCTAATCATGCACTGATTTGAAAATGTTATTATTGTGTTAATGTGTGTTGGGCCTCTCAGATTTCTTTTCTTGTTGAAATCTCGTATTTATTTGCTTAAAAAAAATTAAATTTTGTGGGGTTGCTTGCATGTTTATTGGATCTAGTTGGGTGAAGTCTAAGTAACCCATAGTTGTGCCAAGTGATGAAATTTCCCCAATGATAAAGTGTGGATGTCATTCTTAATGGAAAAAGTCGTCAAATGACAAAATTTGGCGAAACTGGGAGAAGTTTGAGTACCCAGGGGTGATGGGTGCTATGGGTCTTAGTTTAGTTTGAATTATGCATGCTTTGGTTTTGGTTTTGTTGGTAGTGGGGTTGAATTTGAGAAGTTGGGTGGAAAGTAGGCACGTAACTCTTAGTGTGCACCCCTTAGCTCTTTTAGCATCTAACTTTTGGCGAACTAACCTGGCTCGCCGAAGGATGTTGGCGATTCGCCGAAAGACATTCCCATCGCCAATTTGTCAGTTTTATAGGATTTTTGAGCCAATATCTTAGACGAGCCCAATCTAGCTCGCCAAAGTAATTCGGCAGCTTGCCGATTGGTTCGGTGACTCTATCTGCAATAGTTTTTCTAAGATTTGGTTGAATGTTTTCTAACTTTTTCCTAATGTTATGCAGACATGGTATGGACAAATATTGACATGCCACCCCGGAAAAGAGTACATGAAATTATTGTAAATGAAGGGGAATCAAATCCTCCCAAGAAGGGTAGGCAAGAACCTCCACCAGGTAACAAAGGCAAGGGCAAGAGACTCATATATGATAGAGTCACTATTGGCTCGCATGGTGCTTTATCTAAGTTTAAGGATGAGAAAACACTAAAGTTTTGGAGGGATGACATCTGTGCCAGATATCGCCCTGACTCAGCTAAATTCCTATGATTCCCACACAAGCAAATGTTGTGCCAACTCCCCTATTCCACCGTTCATTCCTCCTCTAGGATTCTGAACTTGTTAAAAGGTTATGGATTGTGAACTATTCTTGAGGAGATTCTGTTATCTGTAGAGGGTCATGATGGCAAATACTCCCGCATGAGGAACACCCTCCACTTCCACAAATTTGAGAAGTTCACCAGGATCCAAGGCTCTTATATTTCATCATGAGTTCGGGAGTTCTACTCTGCATATGGTGAACTGGTCTCTAAAAGCAAGAAGAAGTTCAATGTGTTAAGAATAGTGAAGTCGGTCATGGTTTGGATAAAGAAGGTCGCATACAATGATGCCATATTAACAATGTACTTGACAGAGCTCTAGGTGTTGCATTGGACTTTGAGGACTACCCATAACGTACTCCTTGGATGATCTGAAGAGATTGTTGGCACTGTTGATTTCCAATACCACTCCAAGGTGGATCAAGGCTGGGTCTATATCAAGAAGATGTACTTTATAATTGTTGCTCATTTCTGGTTTTGATTTATCAGCAGCACCATCATATCATCCATGACCGAGTCGTTCCTCCTTCACCCTAAGGTATCCTACCTTAGGATGATCATGCCCACAAAGAGTATTGACATAGGGTTTATCTTAGAGCAGGATATGGACATAAGGGCGAAGCAGAGGTAGACCTACCTACCATTCTCGTTCTTGATTGCGAACTTGTACCGGTGTGACTTAGGTAGTTAATAGAGATTTTTAGGTTACTTTTTCATTTTCTACAAACATTCAGTGTATAGAGGTTGACTACACTAGAAAAGAGGCTGGAAGGAGGAGGGCAGCTCCAGTGGACAATCCTGAGAGGTGAATATAGATTTGGTACCTATATAAGTATTTATGCCTCCTCCGGCCTCTGGGGCTTCAGGTACTTCTGCCCCTACTCTTCTTCACATACTCCAAGCACATCTACTTCCTCCCAATAAACAAAGATACTCAGGTAATGATCGTAAAGATGGGTATCTGTCTCATACAGCTGACGTGAGGGAAACATGACTTGAGAAATACATATCATGGATGGTTGAGAATGTCATCCGTGCTGCACTTACCTCCTCCAAACTTATAGTGACATTTCCACCGAGAGAGTTGAGGCTTAAGAGAGAAGGTAAAGGGAGGCCTCTGAGATGACGGCTTTGAAGGCCGAAATAGGTGACTTGATGAAGGATTTAGACTAGATTCTACTGACTTCACTTATTTTTGGAGGCCTCAAATGAAATGTATGCCCCCAAGACTTTACAGGTTCCTCTGGTCACCACTAAAGATGCACATAGGGATAATAGAGAAGCTGATGACTCGAAGGCAGAGACCAATGAGGAGCAGATCAAGGAACATGATGATGGGGTCTTTGATTATTTGGAAGATTTGGAGGATGCCATAGTTGAGACTGCGCGCCATATGTTTCTTATAGACATCACCATAGAAAGGACTAGCAGAGTTGGTTCTTCAATTATGACTTAGGGTACTAAGGCCTGAGATCAGACTGATGCACCGAACACTGATGCCCAGACAGACAGAGCGAATGAGTAGAAAGGATTCTTCTTTAGCTTCCTCTCTATCTTACTTTTTTTCACTTTTGGTTATTTTTATTTGTATTTGAGGACAAATGACTTTATTTATGTGCCACCTATTGTCTGTAATTAATGTGGTTGTTCTCTTGAAAATTTGAGTATCAGTTTTGATCAATAGCGATGACTTAAATAGTGTTCATAATCAAGCAAAAATGATGTGCGACTACGATGAGGCCAAATGAAGTTGCATAGGCAATATGTGAACTCTTTGCATCTTGTTGTAACTTGCAAGTTATCAAATTGAGTCTCTTGTGATGAACATTGCACACTAGAGAAAGTGTGAAGTCTTGTTTGATATTGGTGTCAATGCCTTGTGTTATGAGCTTGTCGTGAACCATGCATGATGACACCTTGAATTTTCCCAATTGGTCTGGTTGACTAAGTGATGCAATATCTTTATATGATCTTATTCATCTTTAAAAAAGTGTAAATAATTTGACATTATACTTCTTTTGTGGTCAACCTCGTGAGTACATAAACTCTGTTTGAACACCCTTTGAGCCTTAACCTTTTTCTTGAAAGAAACTTGATGACACACCCATAATTCTCATGATTTGTGGTTTGTTTTAATAGCCAACTTAGTTGGGGTGTGGTAAAAATAGAAGATAAATCAAAAACTGCAACGGAGTTCCTCTTGACCTATGGTTTTGAGAAAAATTGAACCCCTCCATACAAAAAAAAAGAGAAAAGAAAAATGAATTAAATTTTTTGGAATAAAGATGTGAAAATGAAAATAAATTGGGGTTCCCAACAGTCCATGGAAGATGAATAATGGGATGACTTCTGAGCAGAAATGAAAAAGATAAAGAAATGGGAAGGAAGTGTTTTTCACACCATATTTCAAGAGGATAATATTTATTGAGCCTAAATGATCGTACCTATGCACTCATCACTATTACAAGCCTTGAAAACCCTTTTTAATATTGAGTGAGTTGAAACTAGGGTTGATTGGAAAATATAAGCAAACCCATGGGTGAAGTCATGTATTGTCTTCATCTTTGTGAGTGTGAGCATTACGATTGATTCTGGATCTTTAAATTGATGAACTATTATGTGTGAATGTGGAATCCTTCTTTGTGTGAGGGAATTTGAGTCATTTGTCACAAGTATTCCGAATTTGAGATTCTTTGATAATGGTGAGCCATAACTTGAATATGTGAGTGCACAAATGATCCTTGTATGAGTAAGTTCAGTCTTGTTGTGTGGATTCATGATTGAATCTTGTGTATCACTGTTTGAGACATCCTTTTGAACCGTTCAATTGAGTTTTATTTGTGGACAAGCAAATGTTTAAATTTGGGGTGTTGATGAGTCCTCAATTTGGACACATTTAGGACTTTATTTTAATAGAATTAGTGTCCTCGAATGCATATTTTGTGCCAAATCCTTGAGTTTTAGGTATTTCGATTGGAGAACAAAGCATGAAAACTAATGAGCAAAAAGGAACAAGGCAACTGAAGAAAAAAAATAAAAGAAGGCATGAGGATCGCCTAAACCATTCGATGAGTCGCCGAATGGCCAAGATTTCTCCTAATGTTCCAGTGTGCCAAGCTCTGAAGTATAAAATCAAATCAGCGATATAAAAGAGTAGTCGGTGAGTTGCCGAAATCTTTTGTGATGCAGTACCTTATCGCCAAAAGTTATAGAACTTGAAGATGTTGAAGGCCAAGTAGAAAGGCGATGGAATTGACCAAACGACATATCGTCGAGTGGATCTACGATCCCAATTTATGGCGCCGAGGGTTGTTCGTACCACACTTTTTGACGACTACAAGTACTTTTAAAAGAATCTTAAATGAAACTTTTACCAAAGTTATAAGAGTAATTAATTAATAAGGGATATATGGGTAAATATAGAAATACGTAACGGATATATTGGTCTTGTAAAAATTAATTTTCTGCTTCTATGTCTGTTTTTTTCCCAGAAAGCAGAAACTTTTAGCTTCTTTCCAATTGCACAAAAAAGCAGACGCAAATTTATTGATTATAGTCAAACACTTTCTTATTAAAAAAATATATTTTTCTCAAAATAATTGTTTTTGTCCCTCCAACAGCAATACCAAGCAGGCTCTAAGGCTAGGTCACTTATGCTTCAATTTTATGACAAAGTAGTATCATAAAGTGACATGTTAGGACATAACAAACTTTAACAAGTAGGAGTTTGTCTATGCGAGACCATATCATAACATGAAATAGTGAGATGAAATCAGTGTTTGGAAATGTGATTTCATGTTGATTCGATCTAGTGATTTCACATAATGAGATAGTGTTATGAACCTAGAGTACCCCCAGACGTAATCGGTGTGGCCGACCATGACTTATACAAGACGTTAGCATTTCTCATCGCATAATAGATAGGATAAAAGAGGAAAATTTAAAACTTTTAATTTGAAGTTCAATTTCACTTCATATATCAAAATAGAAAGATAACTTGTCTCATATTGCCATCTAGACATAAGAGTATGATATTGGACTTAGACCTTACATAATTACAAGTCTTATAAAAATTTTTACAACAAAGCCCTTTAAATAGGATAAGTAGAACAATGTATTTTAATATAAGCAAAACAACTAAAGCTAGAATCATTTTGTCCTCGAACTTGAGGACTCACCAACCTGGGAAACAATCCAAGCTTCTTAAGAAAATGGCGTTGAATCAACTCAATGGCCGATCCTATATTTGTGCAGAAAATAGAAGAGATATGAGTTATTACGAACCACATGTACTAAGTATGGAAACATATGCAAGTGAACCATTTGAAAAAATGCACCACAAGACATTTTGTTATAAGCATGCTATGTTAACTTTAAAAGCCTTTATGCACATTATAAGAATCATATACAAGTCCATATCACAACAACAACAAGACATATTCTTATTCAAGCGTAACATCAAAATAGAACCATAGTCAACATTTAATATTTAGAATCCATTTCATCAAATATGTCACAAGTCTCTACTTATAACCCCAATCCAAGTCTACTAGTGCAATATGTATGTGAAGCCCCATAACCTCACATAAACCAAATAAACTAACAAAGAGATCATAAGCATTGTGTTTTACCTCATACATTATCATATTAAGTGTTGTCAATACCATACACACCAATTTTGACCAACATCATGTATATCAAGTGAAATCAATATCATACCTATCATATGAAACCAACATCATGCATTTTATTCATAACGTATATACATAAATAAACTACCTTAGAGTTTCCCTCAAGAACCACTTGTGCAATGTAAAAGCCTCATATCCTTACCTACACTAAGTGACACCACTTAAGTAGTCCTAGTTAGTGTAAATCTTCATAGTTTCATTCATTCATTTTAACATTCGGGAAACTTCTCCATACCTGCATTGACCATGTTGGCTACATGGAACCGTTATCATCCCCTCACACTGAAATGAGGGTGTCCTACTTGTCAAGGTAAGACATAAACATTCATATAACATTTAGGTGGATCCACTAGCAAAGGTTTCCAATGTGGGCACATAGTTAAGGAACTAGGAGGTTGTTGCTAGAAACCCTCTTTATACTGATTTAGAATTGTAGTTTCCACGTCATGAGAACATCGGGTGAACCTATCTTCCTTTATGAAGGAACACCTCTCATTGTCAAGTTAACTCGGTGCTAAGCTAAATTCCATTTTTGAAGTATCTTTAAGTCTTCCTTAACATAAATTTGTAACATAGGTTTTATGAGTTTATCTCCTCATATAACATGATCATATCTCATAGGTTTTAGGATAGGAAAATCCTTTAATCACAACCTAATATCATGTGAGAACATTACTTCATAGCATAGTCATAAGATGTACATGAGAATTACCTTCAACCCCTAATAATAGCACAACTATCATCATCTCACAATTATCATATTCATTGAATGATCATACATCCATAACTTCATCATTCATACTTCAATTAATCAACATTACCAAAGATAAACCAACAATACTACAATAGAATGATCACGACCTAGAAGATCTTACAAATGGACTCCAAGAACTCTTTCAAGACTTCATCCCGAATCCAAGATATTTACCCATCAAATATTTTATAATTATCATATAAAAGTCAATTATACAAGAACATACTTCATTACATCACCTCTAATAATTAATTAACATAATTCAAGAGTTAGGGTTAAGAGAAGAGGGACATTCATGGGTCTATAAGGAATTAGGCAAAAAACCTAAGATAATAACTCAAATTATTCATGAAAAGTTTAAAGGTGAGCCACAAATTTCAGTGATTTCTAGAAAGTTGGGAGAACATTGAAAAATCAGTTTGAAAGAACCTCTTGTGTAAAGGAGTCCCAAGAATGATACGTTACAATACCTTGTCAATCCTTAAAGATTAATGGAGAAAATACTTGTCCTTGAGCCCTACTTGAATCTTAATCATCTTCTTCAAAGGGGTCGTTGTGTAGTGAAACAATCTATAGAGAAGTGAGAGCAATTGGATTTTTAATTTGGGGATTTGTTTTAATGTGGGAATGAGTGTAAAATGACTTAAAGTCAATATACTAATCCTATAAAATACCCAAAACACCCTCACTTGGTTGGACTTTATAATTGAGTCTAACTTGACTTTTTTGGAGTTTTCATCGCGGAATAAATCTGTGTTGCAGAGGTGTTCCCAGAAGTTTTCACGAAATTAATTTTGGGATTAGAACCTGAATATTTTGATCCTAAAAATATATTTTTACCTATTTAATGTATTTTTACGAGATTTGTCCTTCATGCGACACTCTCAAGCCATCACAAGACCTAAGAACACCTACTAGATCAATTTCACTAGTTTCTAGACATCATGGTCGTTTCTTGACGTTTATGCTCTAATACTTCAAAATCATGTTAATTACATTAGTTTAGGTCAAGAGACATCGTTTAATCATTTTTAAGTCATTATTCATTATGTTAGGCTCTAGCCTAGGTAATTGTATTTTTGGAGTGTTTCATATAAAATCTCATACTCTCCAAAAAAATCATGATTTGGGAATTTCATATCATGCTTAGAATTTTTTTAAAAATACAAAAAAATGATCCACGAGTTTATATTTTTTTTAAAACATGTAAACAAAATTTAGAGAAAATGGTCAATAGCCCCTCTAATCTATAGACGGTACCTAATTACACATTCATACTTTACGAGGGCCCTATTAGCCCCCTGGATTTATAAAACTAAAATTATTAACTCCCTAAATGCTTACCTGGCAAAGTGAGTGTATTTCACTCTCTTTGAGAGAGTGAGCAGCCAAAACAATATTAACATTTTTTTAAAAATATCTCTTTTCAATAAATATATTTATTTTTTAAAAAATTGTTCTTATTTTTTTCTTTCTTCTCCGTAGCAATTGTTTTACTTAAAAAAATAAAAATACTACTGATTATTGGTTTAAATGAGAAAAAATTGACTAGGTTTCGAAAAATCAATTAATCTTATTGTTTAAGAAAAACCGACCTTCAAAATCGGAGTCGCCACTTGATTTTTGATAGAATCAAGAAAAACTTCAAAAGATTTAAAAACAGATTAAAAATCATTTGAAAAGGGTTCGAAGTTCAATGTACATCTCGAGAAGGTGTTAGGCCCTCGGGATGCCCGCTAACTTGCGGTTGACCGGCGATTTGACTAAATGACTTTTAAAATAAAATTTTTAACTAAGTAAAGAGAAAATTCATTTTGATATTTTTTATTTCATTCTTTTTACTTTTTTTTTCTTAAGGAAAATGTTTAGAGGGAATTAATTTAAGGAAAACTAAATGGTGATAAAAGTGAATAAAATAGTAAAATTTAAAATAATGAAAAATGGCTACTCTTTAGGAGATTATTAAAATTCTACCAAAACACTAATTAATTCAAACAAATAATAAATAAAGAGAGAAAAATATTTGAACTTGGGTTTGATTGCCCAAATCCATCCAATTGGGCTTTGGCCCACCTGTCCTAATCTATTTACTTAGATTTGGGCCCTTTTTTTAAAAAAAAAACCTGCAAAAACAAATGGTCATTGGGCCTGTTAATAAAAGGGGACTGAAGGGCCTTGACCCAATTTCCTGAAAAAGGAGACATAAAGTATACAAACGATGTATACTGTTGTATACAGTGTATATCAGCATCCATTTTGGACCTTTTGAGCCCTGCACCTGTTTAAATACATATTTTCATTATTTTTCCCTGTATTGCCCTGCGTATTTGTACTTGTATCATTTTTTTAAAACTTACTTAACAAGTGTATATCATCACCCGATAATGTATACTGATGTATACGGGCTGCACCCTACGTCCGCATTGTTTGCCTAATTCCGAATTTTAATTAGAATAGGCGTTCCTCTATGTTCCCCTGCCAATCATATTTTTTGAGCATATATATAGTATATCATACCTGTATATCTGTGTATACAGGCTATATATAAGCCTGTTTTTCAACTTTTGGAAGTTGAAAACTCCTTTCCAGAAACGTAATTGCCCTGTCGTCAATTCAGATTTTGAGTTTGGGCCTCTTGTGGATTTTTGACCTGTATCACAGTGTATATATTGTGTATAAACCATATACACAGCTTCAAAACAAAAATCGCAGCCAAATGCCTGCAATCCGCTACTTCCAGCAGCTCTCCAATGGTTTTGCTTTCGACCTGTACATCCTCTCAGGGGGTTGGCTGACTCGGGAAAAGTGTTTTGAGCCTTTATGGCTCAACGAGGAATGCAAGAATGGAATCCAAAGTGGACTCGAATCGATGTCACACAAGAAAACAAAACAAAAAAAAAATAGTTAGCAAGGTGGAATGACAACATCTAAAAAAGAAGAAAGAAAAAAAAAAGGATTTCACCTTCTTCGGGGCAGCGAGCTAGAGACGAAACGAGCAAAGGGATGACCTTCCACTACACAACTTCGAATTCAAATGATAATCAAAAACCCCGCAATCCTTCTGTTTTTAATTCAACTTCAATAGATAAATAGGTGTGCTTAAACTATTGTAAAATCTTTCTATGAATAAACTCTTTCAATAATTCTTTTCTTTTCTATCACAAGATGTAAAAAAAAAAATTCTCTCCAAAAACCATCCCTTTCTTTTTTTTCTTCTTTTTCTTCTCTTTTTCTTTCTCCCTCTTTTCTTCTTTTCTCTCAACCAACCCCCTAACAATAAAGAAGATGGGGATTATTTATAAGGCAAATTATGGCCAAAAGAGGGGGAAATTTATTTAAAATTTGAATTTTGAATTTTGAATTTTAAAAAGGGTAAGGTTGGAGGGAAAGGGAAAAGGGGAATTGGGTTGGGAATTAATTAAAACGGAATGGGCTATGTAATTGGGCCTGGGTGTTTGAAAATAAAGTGGGCCTGGAAGGGAATGAGGTGGGCTGGAAATTTATTAGGCTTGGGGTTTGGGAGAAGTGTTGGGTTGCTGAAGTGGGCTGGGAGAAGAAGAAATACAAATGGGCCTGGAAATTAAAGGGAGTGTGTAAGTGGCCCAAAACTAAGATCTTTTGGTGGATTTAAAGAATGGGTTAAATTTGATAAATAGCCAAATTGAGTTAAGATAATAAATTCGGCTAAACCTTAAATAAAACGAATTTGTATTAATTAATCAACGAGCTTCTTTAATTTAGTAATATAATTATTATAATTGTAAAATAGTGGTTCAAAATATAGCCATAATTTAAACTATATTAGCTAAATAGAATACTTACTAAAATTAAAATATTTTTGAGTTGGTTTTTTGAATAATCATAAAATATACTAATTATATACATAATTATGTAAAATATATGTATTATTCAAAAGTTATAAGAAATGACAAAACTATTCAAAATGACACAAACTTTATTTTTTTCCTTAAAAATTTATAAAACTAATTATTTTAAATTGCTTGGAAAATTTAAGAAGCTCATGAATTAATTTCTATCGGAGATGGTCAAAATTGGGTGTCAACAGCAATATAAATCAAATCTTTTCATTTTTCACCATCTCTAACTCATTGTTGTCACCACCATCTCCACCCGAGTTTGTCATTATTGATTTCAAACAAATTTTCAAACTCATGTAAAACTCTTGCAAAGCCAATTAACCTTAATCAATTGTAGATAAATTTACATATATTTATATCACCCCAAAATACATTAGATCTGATTTGAAAAAAATCAACCTGGATTTACTTTTTATTAAAAATAAAAAACTAATAAAATAATGAATTCTTTGGGTACAAAGTGTACATTATCTTACATATAATTTTCAATGTATATTGTAACACCCTAGAAAATTTTACAGTAAGACCCAAATCATTCTTTGTAGTGAGTAATAATTTACCGAAGAATTTAAATTTTCTGAAGTGTTAAGGTCACTAAATGTAGCTCCTTGAGTTCCAAGAAGAACCAAAGATAAAAGCATTCAAGTCATTCGTAAGTTTTTCTTATGTTTTAGATAAACTTCAAATGACCATAACTTTCAGTACAAGATGAGTAGGAGACTCATAAGATGTTAAATAAAATCTCTTTGAATCCTCTTCTCAACGCCGCCGAGTTTGCTAAAATTCGAGCTATAAGTAAAAAGTTATGATTGATATAGTTATGACTGATATACTAACGACACACAAACCTGGCAGCAGCTCTGCGATGGCTCTGCTGTACGGAGCTAATACAGACCTAACACAACTTGCTGAAAAATTATTCCGACTCCCAGGTCTTTTTAGTTATTTTTTTAGGGGTATTTTAGTCCAAAAAACCCTAAGGAGGTCATCTAAGTTTCCCTAAATGTGTAGAAAAATTGGTTTTCATAAATCAAACTCTCTCATCGACTTCGAAAATTCTATGCTCAAGGAATTCAGGAAACGCTAAGGCTAGGGTTCACCTTTCAAGATTTTCCTTCAAGTTGCTTCAAGAAGATGGTTCTTTCAGAAATATAAACTTCCATAGTTTTAGGTTTGTTCATACATACACCAATCATGTTAATTTCAACGTTAAATTCGTTCTAGAAAGTTCAAAGTTTAGTGTACTTTATATATGTTCTTTAATTTGCTTTCGTTCTTGAATTGGGATGATATTGAGAAGTTTTTGAGATTATTTTTCCATCTATAGAGTTGTTTTGAGTCAGATTCAAGTGAACATGTGTTAGGTATCTGAATCTACGCAGATCTTGAGCAAAAAAAAATAATCAAATTTAGGCAAATTGGGGTTCGAAAATGAAGAAGGAAAAGTCGGGAAAATCAAACAGCCCAGTCTGCGTCACAGACCATCCTACCCATTCATAATTTTTTTCTTCGCATTGCAGAGAGGTCACAGACCTCTCCGCCTCAAAAGTTACTTCACGACCAAATATTAAAATGCATCTCCGCATCACGGACATGCTTCTGGGCAGTGATTTATTTTATCGTTTCTCATGTTTAACTATCTAAAAGAAATACTAAACATCACAATATTTTTCCTATCACATATCACAACCTTGAATTCATAAATCAAATTCAAGGAAGAGTTGAGGGTCAAGTTTTGTTATTTCTTTCAAACATTTTTGAGAATGTCCCTTGGAGTCCTTTTGTGGAGTCTTCAACAAAATCTAGTAATTTTTTTCAAGACTCAAGAAAGTGAGTATGAAAATGACAAGAATGTATTCACGAGTCTACTTTTTCATCACAATATCCTTTATATCATGAACCATAACTCTTGAATTCATAATTCACATTAAAAAAAGAGCTAAGAGTAGAGTTCAAGAAAGCCTTATAGTTCAATTGTGAATCCTTTGAGATCAAATATTGATTTAAACTAAGTTGTGAGGAAGTAAGTAAAAGAATGGAGAGTCGTATACATAAGGCGTGCTATATGATGGCAAAGTATAGGACAATTTTGGTAGTGTGGGCAAGATGCAATATCATCACTTAGGCTCATAGTGGTGGTTGTCGGTTAGAGAAACTCTCACAGAGTTATATTATATTTTATTGTATGTAAATTGAGTTGGTATTGTATTCTTCAAACACTGAGTTGATTTCTACTTATTTAAAAGTTTTTAAATATTGCATGTGTATTATTGCTTTAAATTGAGTTGAGTACCCATAGTTGATTATCCAGAGTAGAGTAGAGTATCTTTGAGTTGAGTATCTAATCTCTGATTTAGAATCTTATCCTTGAGTACTTCTGGGTT